GTTTTTATCTCTGTAAAAATTGCTCTTAAGGAGCTCTGTGGGTGATGCCTGGCTGAAATAGTTGTGACATTTCTGCTTAGCCTTAGAGCACAGTGAATCAAAAAACGTTTAAAATTATGTCAGTGGCCCACTGAGGTTCTGTTACTAAGGCCATGCTGAAGATTTTCTCTGTCCTCCCAAGTCAGTGTTAGGACCAGAGGCTAATGCCTAGGCTTGACACAGCTGGCCTTTTATTTCTGCTGACTTCTGCAGTGAAATGGTGGTCAGCCCTTCAGGATGCATCTCATGCTGATGAGGTTACTTCCCTCCCTTTCCTGTTTTGTGTTAATTTAGGCAATCAGCAATCAGGCAATGATGTACTGGCTGCAGCAGCTACAAATGAGACGTTGGGAATTTTGCAATGCTCAGAGCAGATTTCCTGTGGGCAGCTCCCAGCTTGTGAATGAACCTCTGGGTGGCAGAACAAGTAGGTGTTGTGTATGTCAGCCTTTCTTCTGCTTTTAGCCCCCCCAGTGATGAATGGCGCTCCTCATGTGTAAGTGGGCAGAGGTTTTGGCCAGGTTTTTAAATGCAGGTGCCAGCTATCAATGCTTGGTTGATGTTTGGAACTTCTGGACTTACTATGGGTGAACACGAATGGGCTGTCTCCTAATCTACAGCGTGTGGTTGGAGATGCTCAGGTATCTTATGATGATGAATTTCCTTTTGATTTTCCTCATGCGTGTGAAATGTGCGCATCTGAGATATCCCTTTCCTCTTGAGAGGAAATTTAAAGCAAACTTCTTTTTTAGTAGTGGTTGGATAAAGATGTGCATTCTTAGCAGTGGGAGTACACAGTCCAGTGGAGCAGGGGAGGCACAAGCAGGGTGTCCACCTGTTTAGTTATGGCTAGATACACATTCTCTGTGAAAAAAATAACCTCCCTCCCTAGCAAGTGTTTGCTCTAAAAGGTTCTGGGTATGTTGGAATTTTGCTATAGGAGGGCATAATTCGGTAACAACTTGTGTTTGTGGATTGTTATCTGCACATCAGAAACTCCGAACACTGGGATGGAAAAGAACAGCAGCAGCTCCCTTCCTTATTCCTTTAGGTGGTTAAACTTTGATTGTTTAGGGTTCTGCATTCTCATATACAAATGCTTGAAGTCACTTGATTATCCTTAAATAGATGACTCTGTACATGGAACCTTCTATAATTTGTTCTAAAACTACAGAAATGTGCTTTGCTGTCCTTTTTCCACCTGGCTAGTTGAACATGGAATGTAGACCTGTAGTAAAATGTTGTGACTCTCAAGCTACCTGAAGGAGCCAAAGGCCAGTGGAATTCTGTCTTCCTCCCTTGCTTTTGTGTCCTGGTTTGTTTTTACATAGATGTTGTTGACAGCGAAGACTTCCTGCCTCTGGTGAAAACGCCAACAGAAGCAGTGGGTTTAAAGGCAGCGTCTTTGCCTGCACCCCAAACATCTACTGCTTTGCAGAACATTTCCCTTAAGCACCCTTGGACAGAGATACAGTAAGTGCATGAGGAGAGAGAGCTGCAGTGCGGCTGACATGCTGGCCAGCCACTTTGTGCCTTCCTTGTCTGTCATGTGTTGTGTGAAATGGGAGTCATGCCTAGGTGGAAGAATCATGAAGTAGCTTTTTGAAGGATATTTCAGGTGAAAGTAAAATTCCTGCCAGACGGTTTTTCACATCACCCTGTTTCAATGCCTTTCATGTCATCCAGCTCTCTTAGCAAGGATCCTAGTGGCAGACGCAGGGCTTGGTTAAGCTTTCTCCAGTGTGGGTAGTGGTTCATGTGCCTGCTGTGATACATCTGCACATCGCTTTTGAGGGGCACACAGGCCTGTACTTTGTAGGCTGGTGACAGAAGCCCGTTAGCACTTTCCAGTAGTTTCAAAGAACCTTGAAAGGAAAGTTTCATTGGATGAGTGCCAACTGCAGACTACAGGGAATAAAGTTCTGTTGATCTTATATGCCAGTATGTTCTCTGAAGTCAGAAGTGTCAATATCTAAATGCCAACTTCATTTACAGTTAGGAAGCAGCTGGCACTGAGTCTTTTGTAGACCTCAAAACAAGAGTCTGGTTTTGTTTCAGTTGATGGACAATGCAGGAGGAGAAGGGAAAATATCTGTGTAGAAATAAGCAACTCTCACACCTTTTTTGTATGGGTTTTACAGAAAATACTAGTGCATTTGTGGTTTTGCATAATGCTGTGAAGTCATCTCTTAGTGCTTCTGGTAATATCTGAGGACAGCTGCTCTAACAGTTTCTGAGTCTGATTGCAGTCTTGTTGCTGAATCTCTTTACTGTATTGAAGTCTATTGAGTTTGTTGCAGCAAGGTTATTAAATGTGGTTCACAGCACAGGACCTATGGCAGCCTCAAATGTGATCATTGTGGCAGTTTTGGCTGTACTGTAGCTTTTCTTGGCACCTGGGGATTTCTGCAGTGTGCTAAAGAAAGGGATGGAGAGAAGAAGAGAAGGAAAGAGGGAGAGAGGAAAGGAGGAGGAGAGGGATGTGGTTGGTCTGTTACCTCTAGTCCCTCTGTCCAGCCTGGTGTGCTACGTATAGGGCTCAGTAACATGGAGAAAAATCTCCAGTTGATTTACACTGCTGTGCTGGTACTGATTTTGCGGCACCTTCTTGATTTACACCAGTTATAACCTCGCTTCCCTCAGATCCACCAGTGCCATGAACAGTTCCTTTTCCTAGCCCATGAAGGAGATAGGTTTTGGGAAGAGAGGTGGGATATGAGGACGGGTAAGGCACTGAATAGTTTGAATATGCACTGACTGTGGTCATCTTGATTTCTCCTGTTCACTAGGCTGTTTTGATTTCTTCTTATTTCAGAAACACTGTCTACAATATCTGTGGCTCGAAGCAGCTGTGGGGAAACAATGGTAATGTCTTTACCTTCAGTGAATTCCAGGAGCGTCCTGAGAACCCGGATGAGGAGCAAGAGGCAGAAGTGGAGGCAGGGTGTGCAGGTGCTTGTTACTGAGCTGCATGAGCTGGTCTGAGTATGATGCCTTCTAGCAGGGAGTCAGACTTAGCAGGAAAGGGAGGGAGAGAGTGGCAACTTGTCATGGGTTGTGAAAACTCTCACATTATCTTAAGTCCCTTCCTTCCCTTCTTGGCATAAGACAGACTCTTAGCTCTGCTTCAGGCAGCATCTGTCTATCTCTTACCTCTGGAACCTTCTGCAGAGGCAAAAATACCATCGATGGTGCAAGCCCATACTGGTATTTCTTCAAGGTAGATGTTAAATTGCTGCATGGTTACAGGCTAAGTTCAGCAGCTCCACTGCATGCTTGGGAATTTACCTCTCCATGGTGGTGACATGCATTTGCTGTGTGCAAGATAGATAGTTGGGGTGCAAGGTGGGTTAACAGGTACCTGCTACCTGTAAAACAGTACACCTTTGTTAATTCTGGGGTACCTATGGCTGTTCTCTACTGTCTGTGTTTCAACCTTGTGGATCCCAGCGGGTCAGTTTTCCTGTGTCAGTCTTCTCCGCTCAGCTGTTGTGAGTCCCCTCATAGCAAGGCTCAGGAGTCTATAGTAGCAACCCAATTCTGTGCAAATTAACCCTATTTCCCTTCAGTTAAGGAGGGGACCCTGGAGGATGGAAGAATAGAGTCCAGGCTGACCTGGGTTAGGAAAGCCAGGTGGATGAACAGTGGCTTCCCAGGTTTTCCTGAAGAACTCACCAGGGAGAGGAACCCAATGAATAAAGTGAGTGTCCTACAGCAACAGACTCTGACCCTCACAGAGGAAGTCAAGTCACAGAAGGTGAGTGTGGAGAAGAGTCTGCTGCTTCTAAGGGCAGGGCCCTGAGATTGGTCACAGGGACTCCTTTACACATTGGTGTTAGGCTGAGAAGTGCTCAGCAGGCATTTACTGGCGACCAGTTGAAGCTGCTTGTGGTACCCTTTTGTATGTGCCAGATTTTGCCCAGCACAAGGGAGAATGGGCTGTCCTTCAGGCATTACTAGGAAGTGCAGCTAGCAGATGGGCTGGAAAAGGGAGATAAAACAAATCCAACTGTGCGCTGCAGGTGTCTTGCTCATGCATCTCTATTGCTCAGAGAATGATAGAAGTACAGTCCTGAATAGGTACTGGCAGAACTGTCAGGTTGAGTCATGCTGTTAACAGCAGGTCATTCTTTTTGAACAGTGATCCACCATTAAGAGGTGATTTGACTGTAGAAGTCAGCACGTGGGTTACTGGAAGAGCTTTCTCTCCTGAATGGTAATGTTCTTCACAAGCATGGAGAAATGCCAGGCTCTGTACTAATACTGGTAGTGTTTCTAGCAGAAGAGGCAGGACAGCCAGGTCCCATGGCGGGTTATCAGTTGCACCCTTGATTGGCTTCCTTAAATGGCTGAGATTGAGGCTACGCCTGAATCAGCAGCATGTTGCCACGGCAAGCTTTCGTGCCTTTATGTGGGATGGAGTGAGTGAGGGCTCTGGCAGAGGGAAGGCTAAAATGGATACCACAGTTTCTTCTGGTAGCACAGATAGATGTAGACTAAATTTCCCTCCCTCCCATTTTACCACACTGCTGACCAGATCTCTGGCTTCTCTGGTCTCTGCTGGGCCTCCCAAGAATGGTGACTGTAGGAAAGTCAGAATTCAGACAGTGTGAGCAGCAGCTTGTCCATTAGCAATCCACCTGAAGTCAAGTCATCTGTGTCCTGCTTGCAGAGACCTTTCAGGTCCATCTCTGAGAGCAGAGCTCCTCTACTGAGGAGGCGCTGTGATTTCAAGATTGCTGCATGCAGTTTTGCTTCTGAAAGGAGTGGATTTCAAGATCCTGAGGACTTTTCATTGTTTGCTTATTACTGTTTGGGTCTGTGCTCTCTGTGCTGCCATTGCCCTGGGCAGCACTGTGATGTGACGACTTTGTGTTCCTTTTCCAGGAGCTGGTTAAACTTCTCCACAAAGCTCTGGAGGCAGCCCAGCAGGAGAAACGAGTATCTAGCATGTATCTCACCGCAGCAGAAGACAAGGACAGGCTGGAGCTGGTGCGCCACAAAGTGAGACAAATTGCAGATCTCACCAGTCGACTAGAAGCTCTTGAGCAAGAAAAGAAGGAACTGGAGCAGATATTGACTCTGAGAGACAGCCATATCCAGGAACTCAAGGAGCATGTGCAGCTCCTGATGGAGAAGAACCATGCCAAACAGGAAGTCATCATGGCCTTGACGGAGCAGATGGCCCGAGAGCAATCTGACCCCCTGCAAGAAGCCAACACTATCACTGTGGAGACATTGTATAAGCAGCAGGAGGAGATTGAGCACCTGAAGGTGTGTGAGATGGCACAGGTCATTTGGGAGGTCTCATTTCTATGCCCTTTTGTTCAGTGGGAGGGTGTTCCTTGTGGGAAGCACAGAATACACTTCTGCTAGTGCTCCATCTGTCTCCAAACCAGAGGCAGGCTGGAAGGGGTTCACCTGATACCAACAGTGTGCTCAGAAGCATCTGGGTCAGTTTCAGCTTCAGCTCAGAGCCTGTTTTGTTTGACTTCATCTCACCATTCAGTGCCTGCCTCTTTCTTTGCCCTTCTTTTGTTTAACAGCTTCAGCCTTGCTGCCTTCATTAGATTTGTTACTCTTGCCTTTTTCTCTTGTGAAGAGTTTCCCAACACATCCTGGTTCTTTCAAATCCAGCCTATTGTATGTCACTATATGCACAGTTACAATGACCAGCTAGCGTGGGGTGGAGAACTGCCAAAAGAGCCACTTACCACATTGTGGGAGGGTGTTCATTTTTGCTGCTGGCTATGGGGCTGAAATTCGTGTCAAATTGCTTTTGGTTTTGGTTCATTTTTGGTTTGGTTTGATTTTGGTTTTTTTATAGAACAAAACATATACATTCTTCATCTTGCTTAGGTGCTTCTCTAGCTTTATATCACTCATTTGTCTCTGTATTTCTAACCATGTACATGTAGTCCATTAGTATTTTCAAGTGTCGTGTCCATGCATGACATTTCTATTTAGTGTAGTGCCTTGACTTCCTTTGTAGGCAGTATTTGTCTTGGGGAGTCATGTCTTTGCCCCAGAACACAAAATTGTTGAGATATTTTCTTGTCCTTAACACAATCCACATCTGAAGTCTCTGAACTGGGGGGGGGGGATTCCAAGCCCCTCAAGAGCTTTCCTTGTGTGACTCTTCTATTTTGTGGCAGGATGATATTGAGGCATACAAAACCCAGAATCAGTTTCTCAATTCGGAGATCCACCAGGTTACTCGACTCTGGACGAGTGTTGCAGAGAATGAGAAAGCCCTTCTGATGAAGGTAAGGCAAAGTGACTTTTTTCCCTTGATAAGAGCTGTTACTAATTTCTTTCCAAAGCCAGTGCTGTAATGGATTTTAGTCTAAAACACATCAGGAATAAGCTTTCTTCTCAATGTGTTTTTTAGTGTGCATTTTTTTTTTCCTGGTTTGTGTTCTTCCCAAATTAGACATGATCATTTTCATTCTTCAATAAAATACATGTAAAGCTCAGTTTTAAAGATATTGAAATTTAACCCAAATTTCTGCATTTCAGCTATGCTTTTGGATACAAATAAAAAAGCAATACTGTGTCGG